AAGGTGACAGGTTTTCTTAAGAATCAAATCAAGCTTCCTTTGCCCTGTCACTTCCGGTCAAACAGTGTTGCCATTGTGTTTTCACAGTGAGTTCCCACACTACCCCTTCCCAGTGCAGGTTCCTCTAGCTGGCACTTGACCACAGCACATTATCTAAGAACAAAATCAAGACAAAGAATTTTTCTTCACCTCTTCTGTGTGCTCATGCTGAAAATTGAGACTGCAAGAGGACAATTTAGTTGCTACCTAAATCTGTCTCTCCTAGGTTAGTTCCTTTTGCTCAAATAAATGCTTTCTAAAATGAAAAAAAAAATTGAGACTGCAAATGGTATTCCATTCTGAGGACATATGGATGCAGTGAACAAACTGACCTAGCTCTGCCCCAGCTTCCTCCCACAGGTAGAGGCAGCTCCTGAATTTCCTAATGGGAGGGGCTTAGGATCAACAATCTGATTGGATGGGAATTTAGGAGACTTACCTGGAAGCTGTATTGGAAGTCACTTTTGTTCTTACTTCGATTGTGTATGCTTAATCAGGGCGACCAGTGCAAACAAATAAGGCTGATGGACACTACTGATGAGGCTAAGCATTGGTCCAGCAGCCTTTGGCTCAGCCACTGGGCACAGGGCAGGGTCAAATGTGGAAGAAAAAGTTCCCAACCCTGTTAACACAAACAACCAAGTCCAATGTACTTCCCTTTTTCTTGCTTCGGGTTGATTTGATAGTCTAACCTCTAAGAAAGCAGACTACATATGTTTTTGTGAACCACCTAGCCAAGTGCTTGGCTTCTAGCAGGCTTTTTATAAATATTTGCCAAATGAAACTGCATCAGCATCTCAGCAGAAATCTGCGGCAAATGATTTAACAATATACGTTTGGTAGCTTTAAAGGTTATATAAGCTATATGTGTTCATAGCAGAAAGATTTGAAAATGCTATTAATAGAAAAGAGAAATCATCTTTTAAGATTTAGAAGTTATTCTTCCCAGATTTTTGTTACTACTTTGTAAAATTAGAAGTGATTTTATTTTTCTGTCTAGTCTCTGTATTTTTTGTCTTAAAAATATAGCTAAATATGTATAACTTGCATAGTTTTTAAAACCTATAATTTTTAAAAACAATGTTCTGCCACTTTGGGTGGCTATCCTGCCTGTCTCCATATGCCTATATTTATTTAGAATGTCCCAAAAAATGTAGAGACACTTTAGTAGCTGATAGCTCAATTGATGTTTCTTTCTTTTCAGACAGACTAAGCTTTGAACAAAGGAAATTCATCCTAAAATGCTACTGGAAGTTTGAAAACACAGTTGAAATACAAACACTGCCTGTATAATTATTCAAAGTGTGCATAGTTTTTGAAACCTATAATTTAAAAGATATATATCTTTCTGTCACTTTGGATGGCTCTCCTGACTGTATCCATATACCTGTATTTATACAGGTTGTCCGCCCAAAAATGTATACACACTTTAATAGCTGATAAATCACTTAATTTTCACTCCTTTACAGGTTTAACTGATTTGAAATAAAGGGTGACGCCAGACTAAGTTTTGAACAAATAAAATTTATCCACTAGACTTTGTCATTGGGATACATAAAATATAAAGTTATGGTACAAAACCTGAAACAATAGACAAATTGAGGGCACACAAATACTGAAGGAAATGATTATTGAGGTTTGCAATTCCATTGCTTTACGTTATCAGTAATGCCTGGACCAGAACAGTCATCAGTTTGAAAACAGGCATTGACAAAAAAAAATTCATTTCTGTAGATTCTTTTAAATTTTGAAAATGAACTATCTACACAGTCCTCAGGCCAACACTCTATCCACTGAGCCAAACCGGTCAGGGCAAGGAAATGATTCTTGATGTTTGCAATTCTATTGCTTCACGATATTAGCAGTGTTTGGACCAGAACAGTCATCAGTTTGAAAGCAGGCACTAACAAAACAAAAAAAATTGAGTTCTATAGATTTAAATTTTGAAAATGAACTATATATTATTAAACACTGACTTTATAATCATTCAAAGTGTGTATACATTTTGGGGGAGATACCCTAGATATATATTTGTAGTTGTTTCTATCTCTATTTTTGAAAAACAACCTGCTTTATAAAAGTAATATAAACTGCTTTTCATTTCACTAAATAAAATTCTAGTACACAAGTTTTAATAGTTTCAAAGTATTTCTTGAAGTGGAGATTTTTATTATTAATTATTTTTGGACAATTCTTGGATAACTATAAATAATACCATGGTGAATATCTTATCTATATCACTTTATTTTTCCTATGCATCTTTAAATATATTTTCAACAATAGTTCCTAGAAGTAGAATGTCTAGATGTCTGGATCAAAAGATGGGAAAATTTTAAAGGACAATAATAACCCTTTTACTGAGTGCTTACTATGTGGCGGGTATTTACTAAGTAATAACTCGGCTTTTACAACAACCAATGTGTTATATACTACTACTCTCTCCACTTTACAGATGGAAAGACTAAGTCTCAGGGAGACTGGGGTCTCAAGAGCCCCAGGCAAATCTCAGATGATCAAATTGCCCTGGCCTGTCCTAAACCAATCGATTCTTGTGAGAATGAGTGGGACTTGCACTTCGGGGATGCACTTTCCCGCTCCCCAGAGCTGCCCAACAGGAATGAGCATTATATGGAGACAGGGGCAAGGGAGGGGGGAAGAAACCTTTTCTGTGCATTTAAATTTTGGTAATTTTCAATTTTCACCAACCAATTCAGCATTAACCCCTCATAGCCACATAAAATGGGAAACAGAAAAAAGGGAAAGAAAAAAAAAAAGCCAAACCAATGAGCTTGACTCTTAGATTACAGAACTCCTCTGTATGTTGGAGAGGTGAGTCATGTGACTCAGACTCTAATATGCACTTTTAATCATAAGATGGCAAGTATTGTTTAAAAACAAAACTGGCTTAAGAGAAAGAACATTTGGGAAGGAAGAAAAAATTCATAAAAGACCAGAAAAGATTTCACAAATTATTTCTTACATATACACAATGATAACATGCAGAACTAAAAATAAATTAAGCTGCAATGTGTACAAATTTTCCTGTCCTCCTCTCTCCTCCCACCCTTCTTCTGCTTCCATGTCCCTGGTAAGTTCCCAAGGAGATAAATTCTCCCAAATAACTGTGTCTTCGCATCTTCCACCAACCACACCCCAAAATGGTTCGTTGCTTTAAGGGTTTCCTTGGAGGCTCTTGAACTTAGGGCCAGCATGTGAGCTATTTAAAAAGCCACAGCTCACCCTAACCGGTTTGGCTCAGTGGATAGAGCATCGGCCTGCGGACTGAAGGGTCCCAGGTTCGATTCCGGTCAAGGGCATGTACCTTGGTTGCGGGCACATCCCCAGTAGAGGGTGTGTAGGAGGCAGCTGATCGATGTTTATCTCTCATCGATGTTTATAACTCTCTATTCCTCTCCCTTCCTCTCTGTAAAAAATCAATAAAATATATATATTTTTTAAAAGCAACAGCTCTGGGATTGGCTAAACAGATTGTAGCCTCCAGGATATGCCTCGGGAGTCTGTTCTGCCATCTGCATCCAGACCTCTAGAGGATTAAGTACTAATATTTTAGCCCAAAAACAGTAACAGAAGTTTGTCTGGTCTGAAGATTCTGTCATCAGGATTACAAACTGACCTGGCCCATTTCCCAATCTAACAATGGTTGGAAGACTCAAATATTAACAACCATTCAAAATGTTAATTCAAAATGAATTAACAATTTCATTCAATATATGCCAAGAATGTGTCAACTCACATTGAACCTCCTGGGTTTTATAAGCAATTGGCTTGGCTTTGAACCACTATTATCCTTCCTGTATGAAAAAACTCAGAGAAGATATAAATGCCCTAGGTGCCCAATCAAAAGGATGTTACTACCAATGAGTACCTTCCCTCCTAGAGTTGTAGATATATTGATCAAAAGTTTTAAATTTGGGTGCACTAAGAATACATAAAATGCGTTGGGCAATTGGCAAAGAATTGTCCATTAAGCACAGCCATGAAAGAGAATGTATTGATTCCTTCTAACATTTCACCTCCTCTCATAACTAATTGGTTTGTTTCAGAGAAGAGGCAGGATGAAATGTGTTGAGAAATGTGACAGTTCATCACAGCAGACAGAGGTGAGCATCAGGATCAGATAAGCCCATGTTAGATCCCAACCCAGCATCTACAATCTCTATGATTTTGGCTCTGTTACTTACTCTGGCTCTCAGAATTCCCTTCCGAGAAAAAAGGACAAAACCTCTGTCAAAGGCCTAGTGTCAGGACTCAATGAGACCCTATGGGAGTGCTGCCCAACACTGAGTAGTGCTGATTACTTAATTCTCTTTCCTATTAAAAAACAAAAGGGAGGAAGGAGAGGCTGTCACACTTTGTCTTCTTTTGCTTTCACTATTTTTTTCTTTATTAAGTTTTATTCTTTCACCCTAGCCCACCCCAAAAACTGAGGAAGGAGGCAGGTTTATCTATCTTTGTGTCTGACAAGATTTGCCCACTGACTTGACTGGACCTCAGCATGATAGATAGATAGATAAATAGATAGATAGATAGATAGATAGATAGATAGATAGATAGATAGATAGATAAATATGTATACAGATATCAGTATCATTATATAGTTATATAGTTATATTTCTCCACAAATGATAGGTCAGGACATTGTCAGTCAAAATCCAAGTGCAAGATGGGATTCGCTGAGTTCCTAGATGCCCCACCAAATGGAACTTGAGTTTCCTGTTGAGATGCCGCCAGCCTGGAATATCTGGATGCTCTAGTGATTCAAGCAACCCAGTCACAGGAATCAACACCTGCCCACCAGCCTCAGGCAGGCTAAATTCTGCCTGGTTCAAATTAGAATCTGCCCACTGAGTCAACAGAAATAACACCATGGGACAGAAAATTTCCAGCTTATATACTTACCTTACTGGTAGGTGGTAGCCATTCTCAGTGCTATGTGTGAAGCTGTAACTGGGAACCATCTCAAGTGTGGGACCAGAATGGGAGCACATACTTTAAATGGCACTGACCTGGGGGTGGACTTCGATGATAGAAAGAAAAAATGGTCAATAGCCTGGGCAAGCAGAATAAAGGCAATTAAAATGTCAGAGAATGTAACCTAGTCCTCTAACTATTACTAATGCTGCCCTGGTTCCTCATGTAAACCTGTATTTTATATTATTCCCTTCAGACTAATAGGTACACAACAGTGGGTTTGTGGGATAGAAAGAGTCTGTTGAAAAGCCCAACCAGCCAGGCAGACCATCTGTCAGCATGATTAATATGCTGGTTAACATTCAGCTGTACTTTCCTTAGCATGGCAAATGCATCCAATACATCACCTCTGTTCGGCTACTGCATGGCTAGGCCAAGATCAGCAATGCACCTTGATCTCTGATGGCACTCTGGAGCTCTTCAGCTCTCTGAACCTCTGCTAGGCAAGGAAGTTGGTAGCAGCAGCAGTAGCTGCAACACCAGCAATCATGGCTGGGGCTGTTCCATGAACTCACCTTTACATAAATAAGTTCTTAAAATGGAAAGGCTATTTCATTAAAATCAATTCAGCATGAATATACTGAATGCTGAAAGTCAGCATTATATACTAGTATTGAGAAGTGGGAGAAGTGGGTTCCAATTCTGCCTCTACTATAGACAAACAATGTAATCTTGGGGAAGTTACTCAACCTCTCTAAGTCTTAAGGGCTTCATTTTAAAAAATATTGCTATTAAATAAAATAATGTAGACTGAGCAGTTAGCACACAGTTTGGCACATAAGAAAGTCTCAATAAAGAATAATCATTATTCTAAAAGCACTGGATGAATCCTGGGGAGAGGGGGCGTAGATCTATAGGATATAAGACTGTGCCTCAGTCCTCAAGGACTTTAGAGGAGGATTCCAAAGATGGATAGAATTTAAAGAGATGGTGATGAGAGGAAAGGGCACCTTGGGTGGCGAAAATAGCACAAACAAAGGGCAGCATTATTCACAGTGACCAAGACATGAAACAACTAATATCCTTCACTATATGATTGGATGAAGAAGATGTGATGCATATAAACAATAGAATATTAATCCGCCATAAGAAAAGATAAAATGTGATCATTTGAGATAACATGGATGGATCTTAAGAATATCATGTTAAGTAAAATAAGCCAGACAGAAAAGGTTAAGAACCACATATACCATATTATGTGGTATATGAAACGGAAAGCAACAAATGAGTAAACAAGCCCTAGCTGGTTTGGCTCAATGGACAGAGTGCTGGCCTGTGGACTAAAGGGTCCTGGGTTCAATTCTGGTCAAGGGCACATGCTCAGATTTCGGGCTCGATCCCCAATAGGGGGCATGCATGAGGCAGCCTATCAATGATTCTCTCTCATCATTGATGTTTCTGTCTCTCCCTCTCTGTTCCTCTCTGAAATCAATAAAAAAATATATATTTTAAAAAATGAACAAACAAGAAAAACAAACAAAAACTCATAGACACAGACAAGAGTTTGGTGGTTATCAGAGGAAAGGTAAATGGGCATGGTAAAGGGTAAAGGGATTCAAATATATGGTGACAGAAGAATATTTGACTTTGGGTGGTGGGCACACAATGCAATATACAGATGATGTATCATAGAAATGTATGTATCATAGTGATTTATCACTTGAAACCTATAGAGTATATTAACCATTGTCACCCCAATAAATTTAATTTTTTAAAAAGGCATGTGAAGTAATGATTGAGCAACACAGGTAGACTTGTGAAGCTGGCATGTGAATATGGATATGGCCAGAAAGCGGGGTTGGGGGAGGGGGGAAACTGAAGTCTGATTAGAAAGCTTTGGGTTCCACATTAAGGAATGGGGCTTTATTCTGTACATAGTGGAAAGCCATCAACCATTTCAGGATAAAGGAATTACTTGCCTAGAGGAGATCAGAGAGAGAATTTTTCTTTGGCTCGCCCTGTATGTGTTAAGAATAACTATGTAATTGAATAGGTTTGCCTACAACACAGCAAGGAAGTTCCCCAGAGGGAGAAACTCTGACCTCCATAAATAACAGCTGTAGTGTCCAATCCTATTTTGGTGCCTTTTGAAAGTTTTGTTAGCAAATAGGTGAAATCCTGAGGGAAAGTAGAGTTGCAGGTGACATTCATTAATACTAACAATTGCCCTAAACCACCAGACAAAACCAAGGCAGGTCCCCACAGCCCAAGTCAAGCAGCAAATTGAGAAAGTAATGTGAGCAATTCGGACCAAGAGTAAGTCACTTAGTCCTTACAGTTCATATCTGATGAGGAATTTGTCAACCCACTGCCTGGTAAAGCCAGTCCCAGTAGCAATCACTGGCATAAAGTGTGAACTTACTCCACCCTGAGCATAGTGGTAATCAGAGGTAGGGAAGCAGAGAGGGTAGTTAAGACTTGCAGTGCCTGGGATTCTAGGTGGGGGCAGTGAGGATGGTTCTAGTGGGAACACCTATCAGAGCAGCCAAGGTTGCAAAAGCACTTCCCCTTCTCAGAAGTCTCTGCCCCAACCAAGAACACACTACAGAATATTCACAACGATTTAGGAGAAAAGATGAGCTGCTGTACTCTGTTCCAGTCTTAGGAGAGTGTAACACTTGGAACCAGTTATAAACTCCTAGCAAGGGGAGGACTATAGCTACACAGGTCTCTGTATAATCATTACTTAATGCTAATGTACGTGATTACAGTGATACAGCAGATTTCTTGGGATGTCTGCTCAGCTTTCAGAACATTTTATTTCTCCCAGAACTACATTGACTACCTGTATTAATTTGCTAGGGCTGCCATAACAAAACACCACAAACTAGATGGCTTAAACAACAGAAATTTATAATCTCACAGTTCTAGAAGCTAAAAGTCAAAGATTAAAGTATCAGCAGGATTGGTTCTTCATGAAGCCTCTCTCCTTGGCTTGTAGATGGCCACCTTCTTGGTACGTCCTCAAATGTTCTTTCCTTGGTGCACATGTGCCCCTGGTTTCTCACTGTGTGTCCAAATCTCCTCTCCTTATAAGATCACCAATGGAATCAGATTAGAGCCCACCACACTAACCTCATTTTACATTAAGTATCTCCTTAAAGACCCTAAAGAGAATCATATTCTGACGTGTTGGTGCTTATGACATCAGCATAAGAATTTTCGGTCTGATATCATGCATCCCATAGCACCACCTATGCTGGTAGTTCTTTTTACCAAGTAACTCTCACCCTACCTTGAGGTATAGTTTATTAAATGAAGGTGAACCCTTGTACCAAGAGAAACATAACAGAATCTTCTTCCTGGGAATTTGGAATTGGGATTAAGAGATGATCAGTCCCTTTGATATCCTGCTCTAAGGAGCTCTAAATAAGGAGTTTCACACATGCCAGGTGAACCATACAGAGCAGGTGACCAGGAGTTTAAAAATGAAAAGCTGAGCTCAGAAAAAAAATTGATCTTTAGAGTGTCTTGGAGGTTCCTGTTCCAGTACCTCAAGAGAACCTTTGGCCCTCATGTTCTGTGAGATCCATCTTATGGTTAAGGGAGGCAACCACAGGTGGTGGTGGTGGTGGTGGTGGTGGTGGTCCTGGAGTTGGGAAGGATGGTGATGTCAATCAAGACAATCCCAGATTTTACTGCTGAATGGCAGCTCCTTCCCCTCAGGATAACCAGATTAATCACCTGCCTTTTCTCTAGCTCATGAATCCCTGGGACAAAGACTTCATAACATTTCTCAGGAGATCCTTCAAGCATTTCGCCACCCTACTCTATAAGCTTTCATTCTTCCCAATATCCAATCACATCTCATTTGTCTTCATTTAAGCTCATCTATGTTGGCTAATGTCTTCACTCACAGAGAGAAAACTGCTTTACCTTCTCAACATGAAAATACATCCTTGAAGAGTAACTAACCAAAATTCTTCCCCTTCTCCAGGCTGAGCAACTCAAATTCTTTCAGCCTTTTCTCAGAAGAAACCGTTTTTGTTCATTTAAGTTCTGGGTGCTTCTTAGCTTTTTCATATCCCTTTTAAGGGTCCCTGACCACATCTGGACTCTCCTATAAAGAAGGTCAAACCAAAGCTGAGTGCAGTGGAAAAATTACTTACTGACGCTGTGTGACATGTTCTTCATGTTGCATTTCAACTTTCTGCTGCCTTTCCCTCCTCCACAACAATAACACCCACACTAGCTACTGACATTCATCTTATATATAATATGACACCCTGGTCTTCTATTGTTATATCTAAACTAAGTCTGTTTTTGTCCTTAGTTTGCTTTGTTCCTTTTTTTACTAGAAGGTGTTTCATTTAGGTCTTTCATTTCCTCTTTCATCTTTCTTTTGAAGACCAGAACATTTAGACCAAAAATAAAAAGGGGGGATAGATTACATCACCTCAGAGTGGTAAACTGACAGCTATGGACCAATTATTGCCCATAGATGTGTTTTCTGTGGCTGGATATTTTTAAGTGTGTTTAAGACTGTAATACCTTTACACCAGGGTGACATGCACTCTCCAATTGCCACAAACCTCATCTCTGCCTTTTGTCCTAAGTTATTTTTCTAGGCCTCTAATAGCATTTGAGGTTAAACTCCCAAATCTAAGCAACTCTTATGAAACAGAAGGTGGGAGCTGGAGAATTGAAATGACTTCCCATGGTCACAGAGCTACTTAAAGGAGAGCTGGAACCTCAACCTAGAGTTCCTCACTTCCCACTCTAGTCTAGTCCTTCCATCAGCATGTTTATCAGCTCATTATAATGGCCAGGAAAAAGAGGAGTAAAGTAATGAAGCGTTTGGGGTATTTTTCAACTGATTTTTAGTGACAACCAAAGAGGTGCGGATCATTCTGAGATAATGAGCAGAAAAAGCTCAATCACTTTTGAAACTTTATTTTTGACAAGAGGCCCAACCTCGGACCATTCCTATCACCCTTGCCACACAAAGGCCCAGAGTTCTATTTCCATCTCTGAATAACCCCTCCTTACCTGGAGGTCCTAGAGGACCTTAAACGTGCTGAGTTGTTTCAGGTCTTATATTTAGGT